CAGCTTCCCTTCCCCACTCGCCTACACAAAGACAAGCTGGAGACTGAGTTTGCCAAGTTCATGGCAATGTTGAAGCAGCTTAACGTCAGCGTACCATTTTTGGAGGCACTGTCGAAGATGCCCAAGTACGCAAAGTTCATGAAAGATCTCTGCACCAACAAGAAGAAACTTGGGGATCTCTCGACAGTGCTGCTGAGCGAGGAATGTTCTGCCATCCTGCAGAACAAGCTGCCCGAAAAGCGCAAGGATCCAGGGAGTTTTACTATCCCTCTTACTATTGGCAGCATGCATGTAGGAAAGTCCTTGGCGGACCTAGGAGCTAGCATTAATGTCATGCCATATAAACTGTTCAAAAAGCTAGACCTAGGTGAACTTAGCCCTACTAGGATGAGCATTCAGCTAGCCGATCGTTCTGTGGTGCATCCTAGGGGTATCATAGAAGATTTGCTTGTTAAGGTGGGTGCATTCACATATCCTGTTGATTTTGTTATTCTGGATATAAATGATGATGTGGATGTGCCCTTGATTCTGGGTAGACCATTTCTTGCCACCGCCAAGGCACTGATTGATGTGCATGATGGTAAACTGATCTTGCGTGCTGGAAATGAACAGGCTATTTTTCCTGTGACTGAGTTTGATCATTGTGCTATGATTTCTGTATCGCCTGTGCATGCTATTTCTGATCAGGTACATGAGCCTGTCGTGTATCCTTCTGCACCTCTCATTTTGCAGGACCCTCCTATCATTCCTTCGCCGCCACTCCATCCAGCCTCGCCTCCGAACAAAAAGCTCAAGGAGGAGTGGCGACCGAAGCCGCAGGTGGCTAAGCCTGCACGGAAGAAGGGTGGAGACCACTATGAGCTGGTCCCATCCCCTGCACCACGACCACCCTGGCCATCCGAGTACTCACTCGCCTGCATCTTGCCGGATGGCCAGGTCGAGCTGACCACTGCTGGTGGTTGCAACCGTCGGGTGCACGGTCACCACCTGAAGCTGTACCTCAAGAGCGATGTGGATCCGCTCTTGGAGGCACCTGTTCTTGCACCCCGCTGAGTATCCACCATGGGCGTCCAGCTAAACGACGGTAAAGAAGCGCTTGTGGGGAGGCAACCCCACCACGGTTTGACTTTCTTTCTTGTGTTTTGAGTCGGATTACGATTTGGTTTTGCTTTGGTTTGTTTCCTTTGTTCTGGATGATGTCTTATTGGGCTGACATCGGACCTAACATATTCTGGTTGAGCTCTTCTGTTCCCCTTGAGCTGTGCTGTGTTCCCGACTGGTCCATTTCCAGTCTTCTGCAGTCCGTGCATACCGGTAACATCGTTCCCCTTTCCTTCCCTCTTCTCCATTGAGGGCAATGTCGATCTTAAGTGTGGGGGGGATGTTTATCTTTTGACTGCATTAGCTCTGTTTGTGTGCTTGGAGCCTAGTCCACTGTCCAAATTTTTAAATTTGAGGGCTCCAAGTACGTGTTCCTTGCAATTGCCTGCTCAGTATGCTTTGAATTGACAGTCTCTGTAGTGATTTGCAACCTAGGGAGGTAGTGTAGCACTATGGAGGATGTTGATGCATTTAAGAAGTCTCATTTCTTCTTCATATTGTGTTGGTTGATTGAGCGAATTAGTGATCTTAGGACCCTTGCATTGTGTGGTATTGTGGACTCTCTGCCTGTCATGGACTCTTGTATCATGTTCTGAATGTAACAGGTGCTCGAAATGTGCTTTAAAATAACGTCTCCCGTGCGAATAGGGCGGAAGTGTGTAAGGGGAGACGGGAATCCGTTCCCAATTTCCACCTACTACCTCCAGCCCCCTTACATGTCTTTCCCCCGCACGAGGCTCGAGACATCCGCTCCTGGCATGGCCGGTAAGAGCCGGGCTCCCGCAAAACCTTTGCTAGGTGGGAGCCCTCATTTTCTGCAGAAACAGGTTGGAACCCGTGAAAAAAAAAAAAGAAAAACAGAAAAACAAGTAAAAAGAAGAAAGAAAAGGGTTCCAACCATGTTCACAAAGAAAATCGAGCACCTTGAATTAATGTGAGTCCATGATCTTTTGTTTGTGAGAGTCACTTCATCCACGATTCATTTGTCCTCTGTTCACTATTTGCCATTATGCCGACTCGAGACTAGCGTTCTCGCCGAAGAGGCTATGAGATGACTTGTGCGTCGGTTGACCTCGTAAGCTGCTAAATGATCTGGGAAGTCCTCTACCTACGATCGAGGTTGTTTGTTGCTATAGAGGTCTGGAGAGCTGCATTGGTTTGAGTTAGGTTTGCTTGGGGACAAGCAAACGGTTAAGTGTGGGGGAGTTTGATACACCGATAATTATACATGTTTTTACCCCTATTCTGAGGCCGTTTGTGACGAGGAATCTCGTGTTTTAAGCCGATTTCACGCTAGGTTGTGTGTTTATGTCATATTTCAGGTCCCGGCGTTGGAATCGAGGCGGAGAAACGAGTTCTGGGTCGAAAGGAGCAAAGTTGGGACGGATAGGGCTGAAGGAGGAAAATACCCGGTCAGATGGCCAAATACCCGACCGGGTATTCACCACTTTTGGGCGCCCGAGAAGCAGAGAGGGGCCCGGGCACAGCAGCAAAATCCCCGGTCGGGGATTATGGCGATTGACCGGGGATTCTTCCCTTAAGCTAAACGGTGCGCTGCAGAGATACCCGGTCGAAACCCAAAATACCCGACCGGGTATTTTGACCGGGTATCGCGACCAGGCAGCTGATTTAAGGAAGAAGAAGGCCAACATTGAGGGGTTCCGAGTTTTTGAGAGAGAAATCGATTCCTAGAGAGAGAAAGCGACGAACCAGAGTTCCCAAGCGCCATAGATCGATCTTCAACACCATTGGAGCCCGGTTTGAGCTTGGAGAAGTGCGATTAAACGTCCAGGAGCAGGAATCCAACTTCACAGTATGATTTCCGCGTCTGAATCTGCTTTTGCTTCTTTCTCTATGGAGTAGTTTCCCCATTCATCTGGGTATGGAGAACCCTAGAATTGTATGCTAGGTCTGATTGTATGAACCCAAGTACAGAGTTTGTGAATTGATTATATTCGATTGAGGTTTGAATGATTGAATGACTTGAATCCTGATCAAATTCCTGTTGTTTCTGCTTTGACCTAGAATGAGAATATCTGCCTAGGTTGATAGAGTACCCTTAATCGAAGGTGGCGAATTGGTGACTTTAGTCGAGGAGCCAATTCGCTATTCTGTACCGAATTTAATTCGGTAGTGGAGGTTTGGTTCATTAGGGCCTCAATCTGTTTACTCCGGTGGAGGTTAGTCGCCCGCTAGAGACTCAGATTGAGAGGGTCTGGAGACCTTTAGTCGAGACTTCAGGCTAATTGAGAACCTTCCGCAGTATAACTTTCATGAAAACTGAACTTGGTAAATTGCAATTCGACTTAACTGCAGTCTAGGGGGAACCATATCCGGGTGACCTCTCTTGACTTGACAACAAACCGTTTACTTGCTTTGTGTTTTGTTCGCTTGAGTTGCACTAAAAGTTCACCGCTAAATAACAAGAATTCACCGAGTAGTCATCACATCTAGGACCCGGGTTGACATTAAAACCCGACCCGCTATACTACGCTTTAGGAAGTGGTTATACTTGGCCATTTTCTAGAGTGACAGTAGAAGCGAGTCAGTGTCTGAAGAACACTTTAATAATCATACATCACACTACTTCCAGAAGGCCATTTCCCATGCCATGTAAAGCAAATGGAAGATCCCCATTCATCGAAAACCAAATGGTAGCATGCATACTAATAAGTTTATATTAATTTATGAACCCTTCATAATTTTTGGTGGAAATCTTTGTTTATTTTGGAACCATCAATTCTAACCTTACTACCAAGAGCCGAGTTCTGAAATTCTTGTACTATTTTACACTCTTTATCACCACACACTCACTCTTGGAAGCTGCCACAAATATTCTAACCTTACTACCAAGAACCATCAAGTCTAACCTTACTTTAAGAAAATTTATAACTAATTGACTTGAGAGACAATTGATGCAATGTTGTCGCTCTTCCCTTCCATTTATACTGGTGCCTCTGCTACTACAGGAGGTCATTAATGATGATAATGATGATTTTATGTTCATAGCCTATCCTCTACTTTTGCTTGTGATATTTTATACAACATGAACATTTTAAATGTGGACTTATCATTTTCTTTTTGTTTGATAATGGTGACATCGATTTATTAATAAGCATCAAGTTAGAAAATTTTATTTGCAAAGACACGATTCCTGTGCACCAAGACTGAGTTTACTGTTGGCCTAGACTCGAAATTCCTGTTCATTTAGACTCAGAATTACTATTCACCTTCCTCTGATTGGTCCCTGGTCTGCAGTTGGGCCCGCCACTCTTTGTCTAGCTTGGAAGGAGTGATATTGGTTGGGCTGCCGTTGAGTTTATCCAGCCCCGGGCTAGCTTTGTCTGATGAGTTGTTGCTGTGAGTGCCGAGTTGCCCTCAAATGAGCACTCATTTCTCCTTCGCTCTCTGCTTTACTGATTTTCTTTCTCTACTTCTCTCAACTATTTCCTCTGAGACCTTCTGATAATCAACTACTTCTCTTTGATTTTCTCTCTTGCCGTGGATACTGGTGCCTTCCCTTCCGAACTCCGGCCAATGATGGGCGCGCCTTTCCTCACACGGGCCTTTGCATTTGTGCCTCGGGGGAAGCATTTCTCTTTGCATTTGAGCTGGTATCTGACACCCGCCGCTCTTGCGTCTACAAATCCTTCGCCTCTTTTTATGCTCTTTCTTTCCAGCAATTCTTCGACTTGCGTCATCCTCATCTCTTTGCAAATACTGTTTCCCCTCTCTTGCGCTTTGCGTTTGGACCGGTACCTAACACACACCGCCATTGCGTCTGCTAATTCTTCCCCTCATTTTTATACTCTTTCTTTCCGCCAAATCTTCGGCTTCGTCATTCTGTTCTCTTTCCAAGCATTGTTTTCTCCCTCTTCACTGCTCTTCATCTCAGAAATATGGAGTTCACATTGCTTTGTAACATTCGAGGTCCGTGCAATGCGAGCGTTTCTATACGACTTCGGCTACTGCATGTCTGGCCGGCGAATTCTCCAGGAGATATCAGGATCTATAATGACTGTACTCTTTGGGCCGACAAAACGGTTAGTTTCCATGACTTCCCGCCTTCCCTTCTGTACTCTGGTTTCTCATTGCCCCTTTATTTTGTTCTTAATCCAGGGTGGTTTGCTTTGCGCAGGGCACTCTGATTCATGGCGTCTCGCCAACTTCAATGGCAGTTGGGATTCGTCGTAACCTCTCTGTTGGCAAGATATACGTCTTAAAGTCCTTTGGCCTGAGCAACCCGCCGAATCAGTATCGGCTGTGTTCCTTTGATTTGGCTTTGGGGCTTTCGCCTTCGACTTCTTTCCAGGACTGTGTTCTTCCTGCTGAGAGTTTCCCGGTTGATGCTTACGAGTTTGTGCTTTTCTCCTAGTTAAATATGTGTGCGGGTAACCATCGTTACTTGACAGGTCAGTAGGTTTATTTTCTTAATTAACTTTACATATATGCCTTTTGTTTGTTCCCTAAAATTTTGCCTCCATTCTATTTTCGTCGATGTCGGTGGCTGACTCCATTCAATCAGTGGGATATCGCACAAGATTACGAATAACGGCCCCACAGTTAAGCAGACGGTTATCATTGAGGATGAAAGGTTTTTACGTTTTTCTGGGTTTCTAAGTCTGGTCATGTGTATCGGTATTGTTCTTTGCTTCCCTTACGTATCCTTGTATTCTTTCCCAGTGGAGCGAAGATCACGATTACACTCTGGGGATGAGTTTTCCGCGGTGTTGGATCATGTTGCTCTCACTCAGGCTGACTCGATTGAAGCTGTGATTCTTGCATTTGGCGACCTGCTGGTTAACAAGTTGGGAGATGTGTTATTTTTTCCTGATCGCATGCATCTTTTCTGGGGTTATGTGAGGTCTATTGGTGTATTACAGTTTTCTGCTATCTTTTTCTCTTCTTTTCAGATAATTATGTCCTGTCGAGTTCAGCCGCTACACGCATAGCAGTCAACCCTCCTGTACCAAAAGCCTATTATCTTGCATCTAGGTAAGTTGGTAGTGGGCTGGTGCCGATTTTGTGTGGCATGTTTGGGTAGTGCATTATTTGTACAGACTACTAGGTGTGCTAGGTTTGCTTAAAAACACGAAGTTGTTGAATCCTTGCCAATTGAGTTTGCTACAGTTGTTGATGCTACAGCTGATGTAGATCGTCGAACAAAGACTTTAGACCAGTTGTCGGCCTTGTTTAAAATTACAACCGAGACCAAAGCAGACAAACATCAGTCCGAGTCCCAAACCAGAGATCCAAACCCCAGCAAGCTGCAGGAGCCACGAAAGAAAGAAGAAATAGCAGCAGCCCAAGAATAAACAAGAATCAAAACAGAGTCTTCCTCGCAAACCTGCTTAACTTAGTCCCTTTCGCCAATTGTTCTACTTTTTAGGAGCCATTTCTCAGCAACTCCTATATCCACTTTGCCAGCTGTTGTTAGCCATTGTGTGATTAAGTAGCTGATCTGAAAGCGACGATGAATTTCGTGTTGGCCACTCCATCGAAAGTCCTACGGTTTCTTTCCTTCCATATAATCCAACACAATACATGAATAAGAACCAATGTGCACCACTCTTTCGGATTTGCTGGCTTTCTTCGGGGCCAATTGTTGATCACATGTGTTATATCTCCAAGACCTCGGTTTGAATGGACGAAAGCCCTGAGCATAGACCACACTCTAGTTGCGAAGCTGCACTGTAGAAACAAGTGGCTTTCATCTTCTTCACTAGCCGCGCACATGACGCACATGCTGGGAAAGATCCTGCATCTCTTCTTTAGGGAGTCATGAGTGAGTATCTTCCGTTGATGGATAACCCACAAGAAGGTGCAGACCTTGGACGGGATCCAAGCCTGGCAAATCGTCTTAAACGGACAGTCTTCTGATTCCGGGTACCTTTCCTTTGCAAGGAAGATGTACATGGAATTCATGTTGAACATATCTGTAGGCTGCGATACCAACGAATCCGGACCTGCAGAGAAAAGAGATGGTCCGATATATTAAGAAAATAAAAAAATCTCTCCATTTATCTCTCAGCCCCACCTCTAAAAGAGGTTTTAAAAGGAATTTTCCAGGATACACTCTCCTTAGATAAATGAAGGAGGTCGCGAATAGAAGCCAGGGGAAACAGCAACAGCCACCATTCGTGGGAAGGTCTATGCGAGTGTCTGATCGCCCCTCTAGTGATCCAATCAAAAGGAATTCGGTTTTCGCGTGCCCAGTTTGAACTGTGCGAATTTCCAGAAGTCTATTTTTACTTTAACAATTTGACTCCAAGCACTGCAGCCAGCTGCACCCAAGATCCCACAACTAAGCCATCGAGTTCCACCCCCTGAAAATTTTGCTTTGATCAGATTCTTCCACCAGGTGTCTTCCTCTTGTGCAAATTTCCAGAGCCACTTGCAGACCAACGCCTTGTTCTATAGTTCGAGGTCCATTATACCCAGGTCGCCCCATTTCTTTGGTGTTTTGTAGCGATCCCAATCTACAAGGTGCATCTTGCGATGCTCCGAGTTTCCCTCCCAAATAAACGTTCTCTGTACTTTCTCGATCTTGTGGATCACGTTCTTTGGAGCAATGAATACACTACAAAAAAGACAGTCAGGTATGACTAGACGATTGGCGTCGAAAAAAATAATTTTTTGTTGAAAAAGACCTTTTACGACAAAATAAAGTTGTTGTTCGTCATGGGAAAAAGTCCCATCGCAAAAGGTCTAAAAAGTAAGGGCGTTAGAAAAACTTTTTTGTAACGAAAATTTCTTCGTCGGTAACCAAAATATCGTTGTCATAAATAACTTATACTTGATGCTGAAAATTGACGAAGTTTATTTGTGAGGGAGATTTTTTTTAAATACGAAGAAATGTCATCAGAAACGAATACTTTTTTCCGAAATACCCTCTAACTTTTTTATGACTACAGTGCCTCGTAGAAAAAATTGTGCAAATGAAATCAAAATTTCAATTCCAAAAATACCCTTTAATTATTTTCGACGAGGGTGTGACATCCACAAAAACAATTCCTCGATAATAAAATTATTTATGATGGAACTCATTTCGTTAAAAATATGGAATTTCTCTTCCCAAATTAGCCTTTTTATTTTTTTACAACAATGCGGAATAGAAAAACCTTCATTAAACAGGACAAATTTGCATTTGCAAAAATACCCTTTGGTCTTTTTCGATCAATTTGTATAAGAATGAGAGTATTAACACTAAATTTTATTGCATAAAACTTTTAATACATTATTAATATAATTGTACTCATAAAAAATTAAACTCAAACAAAACCCAACTATGCCGATCATAATTCGGTTATTTTTTGGTAAATTGAAGCAACCGCAAGTAGAAGCAACCGTCTACCTCAACCGTCGCTTCTTCCACTACAACATCGGCTGCCTGCCTCATCCTCGGCGCAACTCGAGAGATCTCATACTCACGGTCAGATCCGATTTCCAGCCTCGTCTTCTTTGGATTCCTGGCATTCCGCTAAACCTAGAGCACTGCGTTTGCAATTGGAGAAAAGCGCTCTGCTAGAAGGATTGGATCCGAGAATCAGACCCAGCGGTTCGGGGAGCAAGTTAAGCTTGGAAGCGATTGAGAAGGCCAATTTGGGCAGAGTCTCGGCTACCCTGTGATGCCCAGATCCCTTCTTGGCCTTTCTTGCGCAAATAACTGGGAGATGAATCTGGGTTCGTGACAAAAGTAACGGTGAAGGGCGAATCGTCGCTATAACTCGTCGGTTTGGATTACCACTGATCCGATTCAGGACATCTCCCTCGTCGACGCCTCCACAACCGGCTTCCTCTCGCTGTTTGATTACATCCAAGGAAAGAACAAGTACTGAATCGCCGAGGTCGATCTCTACAAGTTCGGCGGTTACAATTCAAGAAGATACAACTATGACAGTTACACATTTGGGGAGGTTCTTCCACTAATCCCGTGTCAGATAAGAAGTTCACGCACTACGATGATTCCCGATAGAACGGTCGAGTTAGGCCAATTTTGATTTTTACTTCTCTCCGCAACTGTGCGCTCCAGCAATTTGCTGCCCAACGCCCCTGTGCGTAGCTGCTCGTGGCGTCTCCCCATCTCTGACACCCTTTCCCGGTGAGTTTTGCATATTTTTTGCAGGAGTTGTGGGCTGGGATCTTCGGTGAGTCTTTCCGGCGGATGACGAGTCTTGCCGATGATCGGCCGGGCTAGTGGGCTGCAGTTACATCTTTGTACAGTTACCTCTCCCGTGGCTTCATTCTTGTTCAAAACGCTCGGGCCTTCGGACGGTTATAATTTCATGGCGGTTGAAATTCTAATGGATAGGCAGTCACAATTTCAAACACGGATCATATCCTGCATTCAGATAAGTCTATTAATTCTTTCTTAAATTTATATTTAATTATTATTATGTTTACGATTGTGCTTGGTATTTTTGATGGGAGTTGCAATTGTTTTGTAATTCGATGTCTTTTAATGATAGTGAGGATTTGGTTGTCGTCCGACATGGAGTATATTTCTTCTACTAGTTGGCTTTGCCATATTTGTTTGTGTTGTAGAAGGCATAGTCTGTATAGCTTGTGTAGCATTTTCGGTGGAGGCCCGATTGTATTTTAATTTTATTTGTTCCGTTAGGGGTTGTCTGCGTGTTATTTTGCAGGTACCTTGCACATCAAATCTACTGCTAGGCTATTGGAACTCGACGACTTGGTGCTTGAAGAGTTTGCTGAAAGAAGACTTTCTTTTCGTTTTTGGTTTATTTATGTTACTAGGCATACTAACAGGGCTGCCCATCGCGTGGCTCAAACGGCCCTTGCATCGGTAGCAACCTAGTTGGTTGACTACCGCCTTTATATTTCCACTGCATTGTAACACTCTATCTATTACAAACTATCTATGACAAAAAAAAAAAAAACCCAACTATGCCAACTCTTCGAAACAGAGCCCAATTGAACTAACACTAATAAAGCCCAACTCTAGAAGAGGCTAACTCTACCAAAGAAACCCAAATCTTTGCCGCTACTGCTTCCGCCTAGACTGTCGTCATCACCGTTGAATCCCTGGTTTCGACTCGCCATCATCAGGGTGAGTGGCTGGCTGTCCCCTCTGTTTTCTTTCACTCGCAATCAAAACTGATCAAAAAGCAAAATCAACAAACATGTTCTTCGCTGTCTTCTCCACCATTTCCGTCTTCGATCTAATGTAAACCCATGTTCTCCACCCTCTCGTAGCTATAATAGATCTAAAAGAAGCTCATGAGAGTTCACCCCACAATATCCTGATGCAAAGTCCTATATTATGGCTTCCTTCACCATACTTACATCTTCCTCATTAGTTATATCTCTTATCCTACAAAATAAGCCAAAAAACTATGAGTTCAAAGTCACAATTAACTTGCATACAGTCAATTCAAAACCAGCGTACAGACGCCTGCATCCCTCTGTTCAGAGTTCACATACCAAAAGACTCGTAACAACTTGAACCTGGAGATGACCAACAAATGATCTTGATTTCAGAACCTTCTTCCTAGCCTGATTGCCTTCCTCGTAGATGTTCATAAAGTATGGATCAGCACTCCAAATCATTAGAATTTTGTGGAAAAAATCCCAGAATACTCGAGTTATTAAAAAAAATTACCAAAATACAGTACTTATAAAAGTAATTCCCAAAATACAGCAGTTTCAACATCACTGTCTTAGACAAAGACAGTGATGTTGATCACCGCTTTTGTCCAAAACAGTGAAGCAGCGGGGAACGCATCACCGCCTTGGACAAAAGCGGGGAATGCATCATCGCTGTGGACAAAAGCGGTGATACGTTCCCCGCTTTTGTCCAAGGCGGAGATAGTATCCCCGCTTTTGACAAAGGCGGGGAAAGTATCCCCGCTTTTGACATCAACAGTGAAGGCATCACCGCTGCTGTCCACAACAGTGATTGCCCCCACGTTTTACATAGGCCTGGTAGGTGGAGAGGTAGGTAACAGCTACCTAGCTATCACCGCTGTTGACTAAGGCGATGATGTGTTCACCGCCTTGGTCCAAAGCGGTGATTAGCTCTCAATTTTTCCTATAAAAACCCACGCCCCCTTCCCTCATGCTGCCAAACAGCAAATTAGTACAAAAATTATCGTTTTGTTAAGTCGTTTTCGCAGCTGGTTCCTCCGTAGTTTACTGCTCAAGAAACTCGTCGGGATTCGGTATGTTAGAATTATGTATTGTTTACATTTTGATTATGTGCTAGAATTAGGTATGTTAGAATTATATATTTAGATTAATTATGATATGATATATGTTAGTTAGTTAGTACTGAATTTAGATTAATGTGTTTATTTTTCTCATGATAGATCGGGATTGAGTATGTTATAAGTATGTATTTTTTACATGTTGATGTGTTAGTAATTATACTGTCTGTATTTAGTGAATTGCGGTTATTGGAAAATATGTTATGATATTATTTAGTTTAATTATGATATGATAGATGTTAGTTAGCTAGTTATGAATTTAGATGAATTTTTTTAGTTTTCTCATAATAGATCAATTAGTTGCATTTTATTATCGCTTTGGATGATATTGTTTTTGTATCCATAATGTACTAATTATATACTATACTTAATTATTATAAATTGCAGACATGGGTAAATTTAAGAAGTTTCGGCTTATTATTTATTGGAATGGTCGGGTGACAAACTCGAACATTGGGATCGACTATGAAGATGGCGAATCCAGTATGCTTACAATTGATTCGAGATTCTCGTGGCAAGAACTCCATGACAGGTGTGCAGAAAGGACTTGTACGGGCGGGCAAATGAGAGTTCGTCAAATTACTTACCGGTATCCCAACATGAGTGCTGACGGAGTCATGTACGAAAAAGTTGACATAAATGATGATGACGACGCGAACATGAAAACACAGTTCATATCTGAGAACGGGGTGCGGCTTGCAGAGGTGTATGTCGAGACCGAGCCGGTCGGTGAAACTCATTCTCACCAGTATTCTTATGATGATGGTTTTGCAGGAGGGTATGGCTGGGGTGGTAGTTCAAGTAACTACGGAGCAGGTTCTTCTGCCGGAGGGTATGGTTGGGGAGGTACTTCAAGCAACTACGGAGGAGGTAGTTCTGAAGGAGGTGTTGGGTGGGAAGAATACCTGCCACATGGTGGTGAGACTGCCGTCGATATCGTTCAGCCCGACGGTGATCAATGGCCTGCTTGGGGTCCAGAGTGGGGTGACATTGAAAACACCCTTCGAACTGGGCGTACTTCGCATGACCAAGAAGGCGATGCTGGTTATGCTGCTAACGATGACCATCCTTCGCCGAGCTATCCATTCGCCTCCAGTGACGATGAAAGTGAGGAAGATTTGAGATCAGTCAGTGAGGAGGAAGATACGGACGATAACGACGATATCGATGACAGTGAGGTGGCGTTCCGACAGGCACCAACGCCTTACTACACAGAGGTTCCTGATCAATTTTTATATGGTCAGAACGATGCCCCTGACTTTCGGCCCATGCCTGTGTATAATCCGACTGCTAATTTGGAAGTGGGTATGGCGTTCACTTCGAAATCCGATGTGCAAGACGCTTTTAGCGAAGAAGCCATGCGGCGTAATTTCGAATGGAAGGTAAAATATTCTGACAAGGGACAACTGCATGTCATTTGTAAGAATGCTGGAGAGGGTTGTATGTGGCAACTTCGTGCTGCATATATGAAGAGAAAGGGGGTCTGGGTCATGCGGACAGTAGACAACAACCACAGTTGCTCCTCAACCATACTTTCACAGGATCACCGGCAACTGAAAGCAAAAAAAGTGGCAAGAACCATTAAGCACCTTATCGAGGCACAACCAGATATCAAGATAAAAGCTATCATGGCGGAGGTGAAGGATCGACACTCCTACACCATAAGGTATAAGAAGGCGTGGCATGGGAAGCAGAAGGCCATGGCTGATGTCTACGGTGATTGGGATGACTCGTATGCTTTACTCCCCAGACTAATGTCCGCAATGGAGGAGTCCAACCCTGGGACGGTTTTCGTGCCTTGGTACAACAACGTAGAAACTGAAGATCAAGTTCGAGTACAGAACGAGTTGATGTTTCATCGTCTGTTCTGGACATTCAAGCCATGCATTGACGGGTTTTCCTTCTGCATGCCAGTGATTCAGGTATATTACGGACTCAAAATATTGTACTATTTCATTACTTTACTAATTTCAATTTTTACTAACTCATTATTCATTTTAACAGGTTGATGGAACTTTCCTTACTGGGAAGTATAAAGGAACTCTTCTTATTGCCACTGGGGTTGATGGAAATTTAAGTATTTTTCCCTTAGCATTTGCATTAGTTGAAGGGGAGAACAACCTAAGTTGGGCATGGTTCTTTGACCAGCTACACGCCCACGTCACACAAAGAATGGGTATTACAATTATATCGGATCGACATGCCGGGATCAAACACGCCGTCCGTGGTTTTCCGGACGAATGGGGATGGACATGGCGTTGGTGTATTCGTCACTTCCTAGCCAATTTCCAACACAAATTTGGCAAGAAGAAAGACATAAGAGATCAATTGTGGAGTGCAGGTAATAATGTAATTCAGTGCTTGTTCATGGTTTATTGTTCAAATGAAATTTCTTATGGATTAATTATTAATTCTCCGGTCTTGTAGCGGTTGCACATCAACCAAAAAAGTACGAGCAGAAGATGAAGACAATCCGTCAAATACACCGGGCGGGAGCAGTATGGGCAGAAGGTCAAGATCTGCACATGTGGACATTTCACATGGACAACGGGGCTAGATTCGGAATTGCAACTACCAACCATGGGGAGAGCATAAATGGAGTCTACAAGGGCATTAGGGCAATGCCTGTATCTGTCCTAGTGGAGATGACATATTGGAAGGTAAACGAGTGGTTTGTGAAGAGACGGGATGCTGCTATAGGGAGGGAGCGTGCTGGTCATTCAATAGCTAAGCATATATTTGATGGCATGCAGAAGATCGAAGAGAAATCAAGTAAGCACAGAGTTGTTCTGTTCAACCGCAATGAAGGTATTTTTGCTGTGCAAACAGGTATCTGGGGTGGAGGAAGACGTGGGCATAATCGTCAATCCGTTACTCTACACGTAGAAACTCGCACCGGAGAGTGTACATGCCAAAAGTATCAAAACAGAAGAGTACCTTGTTCACATGCAATGGCAGTAGCTAAGTCGATAACCCTCAGCGCTTACAGTTTGGTTAGTCCTTACTACACGGAACAGGCGATCAGGAACTCCTACTCGTCAAGTTTTAGCCCCCTGCCGGATGAAGCTTATTGGCCTGTAGACAATGGGAAGTTGATCATCCCACCGTTACACTTAAAGCGCACCAAAGGTCGTCCTAGGACCGAAAGGATTCACAATGAAATGGACCAATCACAACGTGCCCGACGGGGTCAAAAGCGTTGCTCAAAGTGCAGACAACCAGGTCATGACAAGAGGCGTTGCCCAGGTCCACCTCTAGAGCAAGATTCGGCGCCAATTCCGAACCAACCTTGATGTTGTTGTTGTTCACTTCCTTGTTTTAATCTTGTTGAGTAGTTTTCGTTGTTGTGATGTTTAATTTGGACTTCTTGTTTTAATCTTGTTGAGTGATTGTAATAAAGGGCGTTTGTTGTTCATTTTGTTACAACATGGGGGTAAAAACCAACCAAATTTAGCCGACATAGATAGTTAATGGAAAACAACACAATCCGATTGCCAAATTTAGAAACATAGATAGTTCATGGAAAACAACACAAGACCCAAACCAAATTTAGACGACATGGATAGTTCATGGAAAACAAAAAAAGATGAAACTAAATTAGAACGACATAGATAGTTCACTGGTTGTCTTCATTTCCCTCCACTTCCCCTTCTCTTCCTCTTCCTCTTCCTCCACGACCTCCTCGGCCCCTTCTTCCTCCCTCTCTACCTCCTCCTCCTTCTTCACGAGCCCGCTGGACAACTGCGCGCGGATTCCTCTTAACCCGACCACCCACCGGAGTGTAGACAGGTGGTGGGGGTGGAGGTTGCTGAGGTGGACCAGAAGCGTGGTAGAAAGTCGATGATGTATGTTGTTGTTGCGGGGTCTGATACTGAGTAGTTTGTTGCTGATGGTGGAACTGAGGGGTGGCTTGGGTGAACATGTCATGCTCCTGAGTCGGGGCATAGCTTGACGACCCTCCGGTTCCCTCAGTACTAGTAGCCCACTCACAATGTGGCCATGGTTGAGGAAGTTGAGTTTGCTGAGACGGACGAAGCTCTTCAATGTGTTCTCTCACCCTTCTTCTGCTCCTCCGTGGGGGCTCTTGTGGGGGCACAATCCTCTCATCAGCACGGAATGAAGGTCGGGCCGGAGCAGGCACTGGAGGGTATAATATGACATCCCTCCTTTGCTCTCTGGTACAACAGAGCAAGTTGTTGAAAAGCCTGCGCAAAAAAGATGTCTTCCGCTCATCCATGGTGGGTGCACTCTCGACGGTGTGCTTCGCATGCTCCAAACCGTCAACCTAATAAATTGTTGTACAAAATTAACTAATAGTAAATCTAATAATGATTTCTATCATCTAATATAGGCATGTAATCATACTACAAAAATTAACTAACATTAAATCTATCATCTAATATAGGCATGTAATCATACTACAAAAATTAACTAACATTAAATCTAATATAGATAATTAACATTCTAACTAATATAGGCATGTAATCATACTCCAAAAATTAACATTCATTAAATCTAATAATGTTAATTAACATTCTAGCTAATATAGGCATGTAATTATACTACAAAAATTAACTAAAATAGGCCAAAATGGAATTCACTTACCACTGCGCCCCAAACAGCACCTTGCTTTGACACCCATCTTAGCGTGAAGTTCCGATACCACCGCATGTAGCCATCGTGGTACCCCATTGGCCTTGTCTCCGGCGCCCCTTGGACCACCCACTGATTTCTATTCTCCCATATGTTGATGTAGAATTCATGCTTGCGGGTCCAATCCTTTTTGTTGTAGCGTAGGTCAATGGCATGGAGCTCCCTGAACCCTTGAGGTGGGGATGCTGGAATTGGTTGCTCCAATCGATATTGCCTCAAAGATCGATCGGGCAGGTGCCACTCCACCATGTGCCAGCAGATTAAGGGCACCTTGCACAACCATGTCTCTTGATCCTCGGGATGTCTAAGACGATGCAACTCAACCACTTCATTTGGATATGGATCCCATACCGCCTACAATCATTAAAATTCATGGAATTAGTAAAAATTATATCCACTCCACCTAATAAATTGAAAATCATGACATTCAATATTTTTACCTGGTTCCACCAAGGCTTATCAAATTCAGCACGATAAAATAGTAAAGAGTGCTCGGGCTGGTGGTCGTTTGTATTTGCTCCGATCCACCTAATTAAGCAAAAGTACATATATAAGAAATTTTTAAATTATCTAAATTCACTAAAATACTAGAATTGCAGACCTAAAATGTCCCTAAATCCGCTTAGTTGGAAGATAGCTAAGTTCACTAAATTACTATAATTGCATACTTAAAATTGCATACTAAGTTCACTAAGTTCACTAAAATCTAAATTCACCTAACTAGCTACCATTGCATATCTAAAATAAATTCAACTTAAATTGAACTTACTTGAAACCATATGGGGGATTTGCTACAAATCGTAGCTCATCATCTGGCAACCAGAATTCCCGAGGGTCTCGAGGTGCGAGAAACGGAAGATGCTCCCATGCCCAGAGCTGGAGTATGAACATCGCACCACCAGCTTGTTTCGCTCCCAACTTCGAGCAAGTACACAACTCGCGGTAGATCCCAGCCAAGACGGCCGACCCCCAGCTTTTCTGCCCGATCTCGTCCCAGTCACCGAGGAGCATATTTAACCACATGCCTTGTATCCACCGGTTTGACTTGTCGGGGAACAGAAACCCACCAACCAAGGCAATTAGGTAGACACGTGCATACCGCTCCACCTGATCTTCAGGAGTATCCAGGCCTATATTAACCTCCATCTGGATGTGGTCAACAAGCCACGGGATCGATACTTGCCCCGCATTCAGTGGTGGATGCCCCTGACCTTCGATGGGCGTGGTGGTCGGCATGTTGAACCCCAGACGTTCCTGAATCAATGGCCCCCAACCATCTTCTGGTTTTCTCGAGTTGTCGATGATGGCATCTCCGGTGATCGGGAGCCCGGTGAGGATGGCAACATCTTTGAGGGTGATCGTCATTTCACCCTCGGGAAAGTGGAAGGTATGCAGCTCAGGGCGCCATCGCTCTGCCATTGCCGTCAGCAGATCGTTGTCAATATCAAGCCTCATAAAGTGCCTCAAATTGTGCAATCCCGCCCTCTCTAGATAGGGATGCAGTCGAGGATGCCAACCGGGCAATCGACATGTCCCTCGATGACTGATGGGAATAAGTGATTCCTACAAAACAAAAAACACAATATTGTCAGTCAATAGAAAGCAAAAAAAAAAACTTAGAAAGCAAAATAAAAACTTTAAAACTATTGAAATAATTTTAGTGTGTCTACCGGATTATTGTTCCAAATTGAACGAGAGCGATGTTGATCTTGCCCGGTTAAATACCTTCGATCCCTTGGGCCAGGATCGATATACAATCTAGGGTCGTATATCTCAGCACCCATCTATAAAAAAATATGAAATCAAATCAATTTAAATTTTAGCACCCATGTAAAAAAATCACAAAAGAACCAACCAAATTTACGTACTCTCAAAGCCTCTTCGTCCATTTTTTGCCGAAAAGCTAGCGAGAGTATCGACAAAACAACAAAACAAACACTCTAGTAATTCTTTCTGATGCGGAAGATCGGACTTAGCCGCAACCACAGAGCATACTTAGAACGAAACTAGAGTGAAAAATGGAGGGAGAAAGAAGTATAAAGTGGTGGTGTGGTTTGGAATGAGGGGGGGATGGGTATTTATAGTGTTTGGGGCTGGGAAAAGACCTGGCCAGTTATCACCGCCCCAAACAAACACAGAGCCATCACCGCGTCCAACAAAGGCGGTGATGGTCACGGATCGCTGACGTGGCGGCTCCTGATGCGTCGGATTGTGGAGAAAAACCACAATCCACGCATAACTGCATCGGACGGCAGCGGTGAAGGCGCGGGGTGGGGCGCGGATCGCTGACGTGGAAAGCGGGGCTATCACCGCTTTGGTCTTCAGCGGTGAAGTGCCCGCGCGCGTCCACGTCAGCGATCCGCGCCACTTCACCGCTGTTGGATCCAACGGTGAAGCCTTCACTGCTTCCTTCATCAACGGTCATGCCATCACTGTCCTCCTTGACAGCGGTGATGGCATCACTGCTTTGGTCTAAAGCGATGATAGCATCACTGCTTTTGTCTAAAGCGGTGATGTATCATCGTTTTAGACCAAAACGGTGATCAACATCACTGTCTTAGACAAAGACAGTGATGTTGAAACTGCTGTACTTTGGGAATTACTTTTATAAGTACTGTATTTTGGTAATTTTTTTTAATAATTGGTGTATTCTGGGATTTTTTCCGAATTTTGTTAGGCTAATCACCCACAAAAGATCCAGTCTTACCCTAATTTATAAACCACAAAGATGAGTGTATACCCAACAAAACAAGTTGATTAAATGGTCAAGCATTCGCCACTGACCTCGTTGATTCTAGCTCTAGCAGGTCTACCAAGCCTCTCTTCTACATCAACATCTACAACCACCACGCCCTAAGATTCACTGTTGTTCCTGCTGCCTTGAGCTTTCTCAAACTTCCTTCCCTTCGACCAGACATAGGGTTTGGAGTGGTTGTGTCGCACCAAGAGCTGGGTCAAGGAGCTGATAGAAAGAGAAATTAGTTCAGGAATACGCAAATCAGACTGAAAATTTTGCCCCAAAACATTTTGGTAAATGACAATCCAAACAATAGAAGAGAGAAAAAAGTTTCAATCATTTTACAACACAAACCTTGATATAATTCTCAGGTCTAGGATAACTGGAATTTTCGTCGGAGTGCAGGAATCCGAGCAGAAGAAAGGCAAACTGGGATGCCTGAAGGTTCCCTGCTGAACCGGGAAGCTAGACTGTCGAAGGCCAGCAACAACAGGGGCAACTTTCGTTGCTTTTTCAGATGAAGAAAAGTGGTGACCGGTCGCTCGATTCATTCTTCATGGGACTGGAAAACATGGTTGGCGGTGTCATTTACAGAAGCAGAAGACAACGACAGCAGTCAGCAGGGTTGGGCTGAGGCATCTGGGTGTCGAAATGGGGAGCGGGTTGTGGCCTGCAAGTGGCCTCAAATCAACGACTGGAGGGAGAGTGACGAGGCGGCAGAGCGAAGAGTGTATGAGTGAGATGCATCCTTTTTTAGTAAATCTCAAATTAGGACAACGAAGGGAATAAATTGTACTAGGCAGGCTCGGTGGTGCCTCGTGCGGCTTTTCAGTTCCAAACTTTATCAATGCAGGAAGAAGAAGACGAGTGACTGCAACGGCTACTTGCAGAGGAGCTCGAGGTTTGAACAAGAAACGAATCAGGCAGAAACGTTTCGTTTCTGCCTTCCCCTCCATCTAGTGTTTCAACGAGTGCTAAAGCGACGTCGTGGAGGTGCTCAGTGTTACGTTAGGTGGAGATACGAAGGCCAATCGCACAAAGACATGTGGCACTCTTTTATTACTGTGTTTTGAATTTAAGTTTTAACAGTCATTTCCGTTTTCACTGTTCTGTAAACTTTACCTTTGACATTGGTATAAATATAGAGTAACAAGGAAGAATCTCTTCCTTACGGGTTCTCCCATTTTGTACCGCCTTCACCTTCTTCCTCTCCTCTCTGAAACCCTACAAACCCTAAGCTCGCAGAGCTTTTTCATATGGTATCAGAGCTGGAATAACTCCAGTGATCTATCATGTCAAACACACCACCACCAGGAACTCCTGGCGCTACTCCGCTCAATGCTGGTGCTATACCGTTTGGAAGCTTCGATGGGCAGACCAGTGGAGCTAACACATTCGGCAACAACAGCACCACCACGACTGACAACAACAACAACAACAACAACAACAACAACAACAATGGACGCGTAGATCTTCAATTTGGTAACCCATTCTACATAAACCCAAATGAGAATATCTCGCAGTCTATTGTATCTGAAAATCTGGATGGTTCGAACTACCAAATGTGGCAACGAGCGATCCGGATGGCTTTAAAGACTAAACACAAGATTGGTTTCATTGATGGTACTATTGCTATGCCACCTGCTGGAGATCCCAATTTTGGGTTATGGGATGCTTCGAATACACTGGTTTTGTGCTGGATTCTCAATTCGATTGAAAAGGAAATAAGAAGAAGTGTTATGCAGCATGAAAATGCCCAGGTTCTCTAGGATGAATTGAAAAGGAGGTTTGGATTACCAAATGCTATTAAGTTAGCTAACCTTCAGGATCAGATAATTGCTTGTAAGCAAGGAACAATGAACATTACACAGTATTACACTGCATTTAAGGGTCTATGGGAAGAGAATTTACAATTCAATCCTATAGTTGAGTGTGATTGTGTGCCCCAACGCACTCGTCCCTGTGCAGCAGTTGAAGCGTTTAAGCAGAAGCAGGAGGTAGAATACCTCATCCGTTTTCTAAAGGGGCTGAGACCTGAGTATGAGATTGTGCACACCCAGTTGTTGATGATGAAACCACTTCCCACAGTGGATAATGCAGTTAATGATCTTCTGCAGCATGAACAAAAGATCAAGGGTGACAAGGTTGGAGGATCAAAAGGAGTTCAATCTGTGGCACTTGCTGTCTCAGGGAACTCAAGTAATCAACAGAAGATCAATGAGACAGCAGATGGAAAGAAGTTTTGCAGATACTGCAAGAAGGATAATCACACTATTGATGAGTGCTATAGTTTGAAACGGAAAAAGGCTAGAATGGCAGGAGGCAATGTTGTTGCAGCTGTTTCTCAAAGTGATTCTTCCACTGATAGTGACTCTGCCAGCTCAGACACTAAACTCAGTGTTGATTCCAGGACTCCAAGTGGCAATTTTGCTCTATCCAGTGAAGAATTGAACAAGCTGAAGTTTCTCCTGAATTCAGTCACATCCTCACCAAGTCCATCTCCTCCAGCATCACCATCTATTAATCACCATGCATTCTCAGTTGCTCAGCATATCCCTCACTTTCCCAACTATGCTGGTAAATACATACTTTCTTCTTATCTTCCTCAACAATCTAATGGGTTGCTTTGTGTATGGATACTCTGTTATCACCAGGTCTCAATTCATTTCTATTTAGAGAATTGTAATTGTGAATTAAGAAACAGTGAGATGATTTTAGTATGAAGATTAAACACAGTGCTAACTTAATCCGACAATAAGAAAGCGAAATGACTGAAACTATCAAGCAAGGCAAACTAACAGCTATGCCCAGATCACGAAGAGTCCCTGGCAACAGCCCCGACTCTACGAATCCAGACACAAACACAGGAACCCTAACCAGCTATCCCAAGAACTAACCCGTTCTTCCGATAGAGGAAACCGTTACCCTTCGTCTCCATGAGCAGCGCTTTTTATAGAAATTCTCGGCATGGACTTGCGATCCTATCTCTCTCTTCATGAATGATGAGACCGTTGGACGGAGTCTTCGGGAAAAATGGTTTTTGATGCAGAATGACAGGGAAGTTGTTCTTCCTCGAGGCTTCGATAGCTTTTGGGGATTTTGGGATGAATGGCGAAGACGCTTCTCGTCAGATTGGTCTTCTTTTGGGCTGAGGACTTCTTTTGGGTTCCGGCTTTGACGAGATACTAGTGGGCCGAGGCCCAACAATCTCCCCCTGCGTTCGAGCTTTCATTCCATTCCTGTTCTCATCAAAACATGATATCAAAGCATCGAGTATTTTGATCCAAAAATGCAGAGAATTAATGAGTGAGAGACTTGTATCAGTAGGATGTGAATCTCACTAACTAGACGTGGCTTATTGACCCTTATTTATGAAGAGTAGCTAGAAAGAAAAGATCAGCAAGCAAACTTAGACCATTATGGTCGATTATCCATAGATTAAACCAATGACTCCATCACTCAATAACACACGGACTCGATCATTCAATCATACTTAGACCATTATGGTCATTATTCACCAAGAGACATATTCAGCATACTTTGAAAAAAACACAAACTAGATCACTCAACACACTTAGACCATTATGGTCTTATTCACCAAGAGACATATTTAGCAAGTCATGGGACAGGTCCAATGTTTGGCTCCCCCTGAGTTCCAGCCATATCTTCCAGCATATTGTCCTCCTGAGCTTCAGTGGCATCTTCCATTGATCCATCAGCTCCTTCCATTATTTCTTTCTCTAGTTCAGCAGCAAACAGTCTGATGTCCTTTTCTGATACTGTTTCTGGTTCGAGTTCAGCATCTTCCTCTTCAAAGTTGATTATAAGGTTCTTCCTAATGGTTGAGTCAGATTTTTCAAGGTTCAGGATCTTGGACCTGTTTTTAATTGGCTTTGCATTTGCTGGGTCCAGGGATCCTCCCCCTTTCGAATGCTGGGGCTCGATACGAAGATGGAGGAGAACGGTGGTGGCAGGAACATAGACAGAAGCGTCAATAGAGGAATAGCCATCTAGAGATAGTCCGAGATTGGACAGAAGGAGAGTGATCAATCCCCCATAAGGAAGCCTACCATCAAGATGAGCATCAGCATTGCGAACTATGGACCCAAACAGAAGCTGAGTGTAGTCAATTTTTCTCCCAGTCAGTGCATTAGAGAGCACCCAGAGATCGATTTTTGTGACAATGTTGAGACCATGGGTTCGGGGTAGAAATAGGCGAGTTATGACATAATGCAGGGTGCGAAGAGAGGGGTTGAGATCAGCAGTGGTGATGACTTCATTGCTGGAAACTCGACGCTGAGTTACACGAGAGTATTCTACTTCATAGTCGAAGTCATAGAAGAGGAACTCATCCTCATGTGCCAGAGGAAGAGGTCCTTCTGTAGGAAGATTGAGTAGAGTCCCAATGGCCTCAGCCGTGAGTGATATGAAGTATCCATTTACAAGAGTAGTGAGCTTTCTGGTGATAATGCCTTGACAGTCAAGATTGGCATAGAAGTTTTTGACTGGCAGGGGGCAGGCAGGAAGAGAAGGATAGTGGAGTAGAAATTCCCAGCCAAGATTTCGAATGAATGGAGCTATGTCTATTCCTAGAGCTTTGAACTCATAGAGATCAAGGGATATAGGTTCAGAGAGGCGTCTGGAAGCAAAGTATTCTTTGAACCTATGAAGATTAAATTCAATAGGTTCAGGATAGGTTTTCCCCACATAGGTGACAATGGCACCAGGGATGCTGGAGGAAGTGAATAGCTCGGTCATGTTTTTTTTTTGGGTCGCAATCAGGGGATTTAGAGGAGTGGTTAGAATGATGATGAGGGGGCGGATACTTATACTACAAGAGGGAAGTCCAAGAGCTACAGCAATAAAGAGCAAGGTCCGCAGAGAACAAGCAGTCAAACAATTATTGATTGAATCTAAGTATTGGAATTCAGAACATACAGTATGTGAAGACTCAATCAAGCAACATAGGAAATATAAAAGAGATAAGTGCGCAAATTAAAGAGTATGACAGAGAGAACAGAACCTGATTAATGCTCATTTTAAAGAGTATCACATAATCTAATAAACCTTTCAGAGGAGAGAGCTTTTGTGAAAATGTCAGCTAATTGAAAATCAGTAGATACAAAGTTTAAATCAATTAGCCCATCCTGAATTAAGTCCCTAATGAAATGATGTTTGACCTCTATATGTTTAGTTCTGCTATGATGTACTGGATTCTTAGACATGCAGATTGCACTTGTATTATCACATAGGATAGGTATATTATTAAGGTTAATTCCATAATCAGCAAGTTGAGACCTAAGCCACAAGATTTGAGTACAGCAACTGCCTGCAGCAACATATTCTGCTTCAGCAGTTGAAAGGGCTACTGACCCTTGTTTTTTGCTTGACCAAGACACTAAGGACCCCCCAAAGAATTGACAAGTTCCACTAGTACTTTTTCTGTCAGTCATGCTACCAGCAAAGTCTGAATCAGAGTATCCAATTAATGATAGCTCTTCTGTTTTACCATACCATAATCCAAGATCCTGAGTACCAGTAAGGTATCTAA